CATTCTTAAATATTACATTAGCCCTTCCTTGTAAAGAAGTGCCACCCACTGAATTTTCAGTACAACTTTTTGAAGCATTAAGGTGCCAGACTGAGGCTTCTGATCAAAACACATGATGTTCCATAGGAGTCTAAGAGCAACCCGAAGACAAAACCTAGTCTGACAAAGATGCACCTCAGCTTGCCTGGTTTATGAAGCTGCATATTAACTTTCAAACCATAAGCACTAAAAATTGTTAAATTAATCTAATAATTAGTTTGGTCTCTCAATACTATAGTGGCTATATTTGGGAATTGAAAATGTTATCTCAATGACAGTTCTCACTGTATTATTTCCACTGTACCAACAGCGTGCTTGGTGCTTTACAGACAGTACACAAAAGTTTAGTCTTTGGAAACAGGAACCTCTAGAAAAACAAGTTTGTAAATGCATCTCCCCACATACAAATTCAGATTGCCAAGCTGCGCAAAAGACGAAGCTTTACTCAAACCCTTCACTAACCTCTAAATGGCTCCTTTTTCCTAACCCTGAGCCAAGGCCAGGATGTATTGTGTAAATTGCCATTTCCTGTTATGTTTGTTACTAACCTGCATAGCCCATGAGATTAAGTGGGAGGGAATGGTTAACAGATCTTGGCAATGATAATCGCAAAGGTCTCAGCAGGGACATAGTTGGGGGACCAACTCTGGTAAATTAGAAGCGCTGCAGTCACAGCACCAGACAGTTCTTACTATTAGAGTGGAAATCAGGAAATCACAGTCTAATGCATTTGCTCATGGAAGTGGCATGGGAATACTTCATCTACCTTAAAACTGATGAAAATCATGCTGTCTCTTTTCAGTGTTCTAGCCCCCGAAGCTGCTTTAAAGTCTCATTCAGGTACTTTAAGGGAGTTAGAGTCAATACAAATATATGGTTTCTTTGGCACAGTGATACTAAAAATTGAGTTCTCAGGCCACCCAGAGGTGAACAGATTTTACTGAATCCAGCCTTGGGTATCATAATTTTTTCTCCACTTTGTGTAATATTACTTCTCATGGATATATGCACAGAGTTTTTTAAAGAGCTTTGTATAAGTCCAAAGAATCATATAAGCAGTAGCTTCTCCACAAAGCATTCCCTGTATTATCGCCATATAACAGGGAAAACCAAGGCACTTAAAAGATATCCCTGAAATCCTTTTCTGAATGAGATACCACTTCACCCTTTAGCCAGTTCATCATGGAAAGTATTGTAGTGGTCTGAGCTGAAAATGACACCAGGTCAGAATCACCTCTCAAACAGGAGCAGATAAGCAATAATTTCAGTGACATGAATCTGTTTCATACATGCTAAAATAGAGAAAGTGAGATGAGAGATAATCAAAAGGGAAGAGTTATCAGGATTTAAGATTAATTCAGGCTTGGTGTCAATGACTTCCATTCCCACTGACTTTGTCTCACTTGCACCAACCCTGAATTCTCCTTCAGCTGCTGTTTCTCAGCATACATAATTCCTCAGTGTCTTTACTCACTTCATTTCTCCCAAAGTTACCCCATTGCATTGCACTGCAGTTAGACTGTCAGTCCCTGAGGAAGCAGGAGTTACCTTGGTTGTATCCCTGCACCCACCCGCTCAGCTCCATTTGAAATCTATGAGACCCCATCCAAGTCTCTGTCCCAAACTTTAATATTGAGTTAGTAGCCTGCCTGTGAAAATAGGCATGCAATATAGCCTACACAGCTAAAAGTACAAATACTTGTTTAATCAAATGGTGATAAAGTTCATTTGTTTCCATTTCAATCAATTACCCTTGCAGCCAGTAAAGAAAACTTATAAATAACCTACTGGAAAAATACTCATGCTCAAAAAAGAGTCAATATTCTGCATCGCTGCTTAAAATCTTTTCTTTAATAGAATTTTGTACCATTGTAAAACTGTATTTTGTGTATGTCTTTAGTTGTGATAGTTATCTCATTTTAATATCACTCCATCCATCCGTTTGAATCAAACTATTGTCTCTTATATACTGAGATTCTAACTTCTTTGAAGAACAGATGGTCTTTTGGTCTACCTGGCACAGTGGAGACCCAGTCTGTTTGACTCCCCTAGGTTCAACCAAATACGCTATTACTACTGCTGCTACTATGAATAACAACAACAAATTTCAACCTTTCTCACTATGGATAAATCTAGTGGCAATATTCTATGCTGCGCAAGTCCAATCAAATCCCAAAGCTTCAATCACCTTGTTTGGGCTGTATGTAGATGCAAAAATTCTGATCAAGTTTCCTATGCTGCACCTAGCTGAGTCTTCCTTAGATGAGCACTAAAATGCAAGACTACACTGAGTCACAGCTACCATATGAAGTACTTCCACACCCGCCTCAGTCCAGCAAACCTTTTGAAATGATACTCCACAAAGATCCAGCAGATGTCACTATATACCCTGACTAACAATCCAGCTGTCATCTTTAATTTGAGGATGCATCATACTTAGCAATTATAGGTGAAGGAAACCAAGTCTTGAAGCTGCTACTTAAGCTGGAGGCACTCCGCAACACAGATGTCTTAACAACTGAGTGAATCAAGTTAGCAGAGAAGCTCAGATATATTATATGTAGTTAGATCAGAGGTTGTCTTCAGAGAGCTCAAAATATCTAACTTCACATGCCTTGATGTTTGTTATGATCATATAATGTGCAGCTCTGCACCTTTAGTACTGGAACCTCCAAAAACGAAACTTTTGCTTGTTTAAAGAATTGATATGATAGCCTTAAACATCTGTGAGAACTTGGCAGTTACATTTCCATAGAGCAGGAAGTGGGTTAACCTTGATGTGACTTTCCATAAAGAAATCATTTTCCATTCTTCTAACACCTACGTTTGCTTCAAACTGACTAAACTTACTTAAAGATGAAGACTTAAAATTAGAATGTCCAGGGATTCAGTTATCTGCACAACTTCAGTTGCAGAAGAAAGTGGAGAATTTATTTTGCTAATTCCAAAGTCATCCATTTAAACTGGAATGTGAAATGTTTAAATTTATGCTGATCCTGGCAAAACTGATTGTGGGCTTCCATATTCTTCTTATGTTTTATTCCCGCATTGTAACAACAAGGGCAAGATTCACCTTTAAATAAGAATCTTTAGTCTTTTTTGTAGAGCAATGGCTTCAATTTACTTAGAGAGATTTTCCTTCAAAAATAATTTCCTGCTTAAGGATTTAAATGAAAAGGAAAAACTGTTTCAAGAAACACATTGAAGGTTCATGCCTCTTAAATTAAGAAAGAAACTGTTGTGGAACTTTTATGGACCTGCCCAAAGAAACCACCACTGGGTTCTCCAAGGCCTAGTGACAAATATCGTTACTTTTTACAAGTGTGTGGGAAAAGTCCAGTAATGTTACTTCTGGCCTGACAATAAAGTTGGTGTATCATATGCTCCTTCTCTACTGACCCCCCGCTCCTCCTTGGATTTTCTCATAAATGTTTTCACAGGAATGCCATCCCAAGAGAAGAAGACAAGAGAAAATTCTCAGACATTATTACTCAGTGTGGTCAGCTACAATCGCAGAAAAAAACCTCTGGAAAACCCCCTTAAATCTGAGGAGAAAATGCAAGCTTTGTCAATGATCTCAGCCAAAATAGCTTGTTGAATTCTACATGTCAGCCAATATGCCTAGAAGTAACTTTTATCAATCTAGGAGCTTTTGGTTTTGGTTATCCCTTTACCAGGGAATGTCACTGCACACAACAGATACTTCCAGTAAAGGAGAGATGTGTAACAGCAAAGAGCATAAAGGCTAAAAGAAGTCACTGTTGCCAATTTGGACAGCATTTGTTCTTTTGAATAGGTATGCTTTCGGAAAGAAGTAAATTTAACCTTTGACTGGTACTGGATCTACAGGAATGGAAGTGGAATTCCTCTATCTGTGCCTCATCCGGCTGCACTGATGCTGGCTAGAGTTTTAGTACAAACTTCAGAGAGCAAAGGTGAAGTCCCCTAGAGAGAGTACCTGTACCAAGTAGGTTGCACAAGTAGAGAGGAGTTTATAGTCTGCAATTGTGCAAAGTAGATCTCTGAAAAGCTTATCAGACTCCACAGGCAATTCTGAGGTCCCGGGTAGCTGGGCCTCTTATCTGTGCAATTATTGTTTCATACATCTCAACAGTGTCATTTGTCCTAACCTAATGAAACCCAATGCCTGTTACCAAAGTACCATGTTACCAGACTGGCATGGGACAGACTGGGCAGCTCAGGACCACCTGCACAGCAGGGCAGTTGCTTAGCATCACTGCTGCCTCACAGCTCAGGCCCCTTGCAAGGACTGCGCTGCTGCAGCCTGAAGGGCGCTCGGAGGAGCTGCATGTCACAGTGAGTTTGGCCAGGTCATCCCCCTGCTTTTGGGTGAGCTTTGTGACCACAAGGGCAGCACAGGGCTGTACCTAGATTCCTGGCAGCCCAGGGCAAACTTTTAGTAGTGGGCCCCACTTTGCCAGAGATAGTAATAATAATCACTACTGTCCCCTTTCTGTCTGGGCCCAGTTGCTTGATTTGCCCATGCCTGTGTCCAGCCTTAAGGACAAGACATTGCTTTGGGGCCTCCTCCAGAAAAGTCAGGCCTGAGGACCCTCAGCTGCTGCGCTAGCCTACTCCACTCCCACTTGCCTGTGCCGGGCACAGAGTGGGACCCAGGAGGCTTATGGGGCCCAGCGCCACCAAGTCTCCTGCCAGAGGGGAAAAGCTTGAGGGAAAGCCCAGACTCAGGGGAGGGGATGGGGGGAGAGGGAAGGGGTTGAAGCCGGGACGTCCTTCCGCTGCCACGGAACAGAAAAACCCCCGGGCTGGGCTCGGCCCGGCCAGGGGATTCCTCAGGCGAGGCGAGGCGCCGCCCCGCAGCAGGGCCGAGCAGAGAGCAGGCCCAGCTAGGCGCTGCGCCGCTGTAACTGCGCTGGAAATTCCCGGGCAGGCCCCGCCCCGCAGAAATCCCCCCGCCTCCGCCCGCGCCTATAATGCGGCGCCGCGGCCCGCACCCAGATGCTGGAAGCGCCTGAGCCGTGAGCAGCTGCAAGTTCGCCATGCACAGCCCCGCATATTGCCCCGAGCTCGGCCCCGGCCTCGCCATGGTGCCGCGCAAGGAGCGCGCGGCGCTGGACGACCGGCACGACAGCGGCCTGGACTCTATGAAGGAGGAGGACTACGACCAGCTGGTGCGCGACCTGCGCGACATCCGCCTGCAGCCGCCCGTCGCGCTGCCCGCGCCGGCCCCGGCCTGGCGCCACCAGCTCACGGACGACGGGGACTCGTAAGTGGGGCTGGGGCTGGGGTCGGGGCCGGGGCCGGGGCCGGGGCCCCGCGCGCGGAGGCTGGGACT